TAAATGGATGGGATCAATTGGTGGTATACCCAAATCCTTTCTACCTAAAGTTCAGACAAAGTTAACAGCTGATGAATTGAATAATAAAAACAAATAAATTTACCATTTTTCAAAAGTAAAAGAGCGGATTTGATGGATTTAGCAATGCAGTCAGTATCACCCTTCTTGCATATCAACAATTCGGAAGCTGCAAGAATTTTCAAGTAATCAAACAAAAAAAAAAGTTATTTTCTTGCGAACTCACGAAGATCCATGGCTTGAGCAGCCAATTGGAGACAAGAAACGAACAGAAACAATCTCATGTTGCAATAAAAATGTTTTGATCAATTTGTATGCACGAAGCAACTTATATTATAATGCGATCGTTCCAAAGATCGCAGCTGCCACACATACCTGTAATCATCATCAATCAAAGTAATTTGTTTTCTTCACTTTTTTGCGAAAACCGAGATAATTAAAAATAATGTAGAATAAATGAAGGAAAACGGTTTGATAATTGCAATGTATAATTACATTTAATAAATACTTCTGCATAAACGTAACAAATCAATAATTAAAAAAAAACAAATCTCAAAAATAACATAATTTCTTTAACTTCTAAAAGTGTATCATAACAATTGCGATGAGAGTAACAGTATCATTGATTCGTAAATAAATCTAGAGGATCGTCCAGGATCTTTCCATCGTCTGAGCTCTTCGTGAGAGGAACGGTTTTGCTGATCCGCTTCTTCTCCGCGGGTTTTGTGGGTTTTACCGAAGCAGTTCTTTTCGTGCTGAAAATATCGTCGTTATCGTCGCTGACATCGTCGAAAAGCGAGTTCGATTTTACTGGTTTCTTTGATGTGGACGCGGAGGACACTTCGCTGACGTTTCCAAAGATATCATCTTCGTCGTCGTCGTCGAACAGTCCTTTGGGTTTCTTACGTTTCGCTGAGGACGTCTTCTTCAAATCGGCGAATATATCGATGTCGTCGTCATCGAAGAGTCCTTTCATCTTCTTCGGCGCTTCCTTTTTCAGCGTTTCTTTCTTTTTCGGCTCTTCCTTCTTCAGCGAGGACGTGGCTTTAGGCGGCATTTCCACTTGTCTGTGAATGCCTCCAGAGTAACTATCGTTCAAGAAATCTTCATATTCGACTGGTCCCTTCTCGTTACCTCCATCAGGTTTGCTCCTCTCGTTTTTATCTTCGTCTCCGATCTGGCTGATCTCGCTTTGAGTCGCATTTCTGTTTAGGAAATCCAAATTCCTCTCGACGTTGTTGTTCTTCGTGTCCTCGATTCTGTCCTCGCTTCTCTCGCGGTTCCTTCGTATCGACTCCTGACGACCGCGTCTCGTCGACGGTTTCCTCTTCACCGCAATTCGAGCCCTGCTCTTCGTGATGCTCGGAAGCAGGTTATCCTCTGGCGCATCCTCCGGTAATCGCACATCTTTATTGCTCTGAGCGTGAACGATTAACGGCTGCTCCACCTTAGCATCTTCGAGACTATGGGATTTTACCATGAAACTCTTAGGCAGGGACGCACCTGGCATCAATGCAGCAACATTGATGTTCAGATTGTGCTTCAGTTTCGACGGTAAAACTTTTTCTTCCGGTTTTCTGCTCGAATCCTCCGAAAGGTTTTCCTTCATCTTAGCAACTTTTCTTGGCAGAACGATCGGTTTATTTGTTAACTTAGCTTCTTCATTATTTTGTAATAAATCAACTTCCTTCGACTTGTTCTGATCCCGCTGTGTATCATCAAGCAAATTGGTTTCTTCATGATCTATTGCTGAAGAAAACAAATCATCATCAGAACTATTATCCATTGGCTTCGACAACGTATTATTTCCTTCAATCTTAGGATTTTCAATGTCCTTCTTTTCACTGCCAAACAAATCAATACTCTTTGTTTCTTTACAATCCTGCAGATTGTTTTCTTCATGATCCGTTACCGCAGAAAAGAAATCATCATTAGGCAACGATTCAGACAATTTATCTTCATCATCAACCTTTTCACTGTCGAATAAATCGACGCTCTTCGCTTTTCCACGAACTTCAGCATTGGAAAATAACAAATCATCATCGGAACTGCTATCCATACGTTTAGGCAAAGCTCCAGCTAAAGTGTTCTTTCTTCCAATAACAATCGGTTTATTCGTTAACTTTGAATTATTATTTTCAACACTTTTTACATCATCTTGATTCTTCACGATATCTTTCTTTGTTTCTTCATTATCAATTACCTTAGCAAACAAATCCTCAGTCTCAAGATCATCATCAAACAAACTAATTTTCTTTTTTGTTATTCTTTGATTATTCGGTTTTGTATCTACTTCGACAGTAATTTCTTTATTAACTTCTGAAACAACGTCAGATTCTCTACAATCCTCCGCAATCACACTAGGAATATCGTTAGTCTTGTTTTGATCATCGACGCTTGGAATTTCCTCCTCTTTGTCATCGAATAAGTTCACATTTTTATCTTCGAACAACCGGTTTTTCTCCAAATCATCATCACTGAACAAGTTAATTTCCATTTTATTATTGGCTTTTTTAAAGTCCAAATCATCATCGAACAAACCGCCACTTTTTATTTTCGCATCATCTGTATCGTCAAAGATAGACGCATTCTTCGGAACGAAATCAAAATCCGGTGGTTCATCATCAAATAATGAGAATTTCTTCTGATTTTGATCGACTTCTTTTTTGGTATCATAAATGTCATCATCGTCAAGATCGTTGTTATCGGATTTCGTGTCCCAATCGTCCAAATCTGGAGGAGCATCGTCGAATAAACTCGGCACGAACGTCCTTTTCACATGATCTCTCTCCTGTTCCACCTTCGAACTGGTGAATATATCTTCGTCGCTATCGAATAAGTTCTCTTTCCTCTTCTCGATCTTCGGAAACGACTCCTCTGCCTCATCATCATCATCATTGTCGAACAAGCTGAGTTTCTTCTTATCTGAGAAAGTCTTAACATCGGAGAAGAGATCATCTTTGAACAAATCATCCGCATCATCGAATAAGCTTGGTTTCTTCGAAACACTCTTGACCGCAGTTTTATCTTCAACTATAGATTTACTTGATTCAATAATTACTTCTTCTTCGGAACTGCTATCGGTTCGCTTGGGTAGAATTCCAGCTAACGTACTGTTTCTTCCGATAATACCAGCTGATGGCTCCTAAACAAATTATTTGTGAATTCATGTTCAGTTCAATATTTGCAATTACCTTCTTAGTTTTTGGTGCCTCGATGATTTCAGGCGGTTCATTACTGAGGAAGCTCGACGCCAAAGTGTTGTTGGTGTACGGTTTCAGGAACGAATTTGGCTGCGTCTGATTAGAACTCGTAAATGCTTCTTCATCGTCGCTTTCATCGAATAAACCTCGCGTTTTCTTCTTCGGTTCGTCGTATTGCGGAGGATTCTTTTGACCCCAGAACGATACATCCTCGTTCTGGAACAGATCTTTGCCTCCAGAAAACATCCCTTGCTTATCCTCGTCGTCTTCGGATTCTTCCAAAGGTGGAGGCTCGTTTGTGAATAGACCAACTAATAAATTTAACAAAAAATTACTATAGTCTTTGCGCCCAAAAACAGATTATTTACCTTGCGGTTTCGGAATGTTGATGGGTCGTCTGTTAACTTCAAGTTCTTTGGTGCTCTCAACAGCGATATTTCCGAGACGCGCGGCAAGCTGATCGGCAAAACTTTGACTGGACGGAGGCATCTACAATAATTACAAATTCTCTTAAATTTTTCTACAGAAAGTAATTGAAGAAATTACCTTAACTGGAATGGAATTATCGGTGCCACTTGAATCGGTATCATTGATCACGGCTTGAGGTTTACTGTGATTTAAAGAAACGTCCGTTCCGGAATCGCTTGTACTTTCGATTCTGCGACGGTCAGCGATCGGTAAATTGCTCTCAGAATCGGTATCGCTAAATTTATCCGGTTCTTCGGCTTCCTCTTCACTCGACGAATCCTCTAGTCCCACGTGCCAATTCTTGTACCATTGCTCGGTACCAATCACGTAAGGCAACGGTCTTTGCAAATAGGGATTCTTTGGTTGCAAAACATAACTGAAATTAACACTGAAATTAGAATTGAATCTGAAATTTATTGTTTTTTCATACCTGACACCATCAACATCATCCTCACTGTCACTTCCATCGACAGTCACTTTATCGTAATATTCATCAAGCAGTTCAATACCCTTCAACACTGCATTTGTAATGTTTTTCTTTTTCTCTTCATCCAACACTTTCTTCTCAACCTACAAATATTAGCATTCAAAGCATAATAACATTGCAATAATAAAATATACTACGTTGGTAACATCTTCCTTCTTGGAATCCAGAACCTCATCATCTTCGTAAACACGACTTTCAATGAACTGGGTATTTTGCAGACTCAAAAATTGGTTCTTCACCAAGTCTAAATTAATAGCAGTCTTGTCCAGATTATCCAAGAGCTCATCGAGGGATCCATTCACTTCTCCAGCTCTCTTAAATAAATTCTACACACGCAGAAAATAGATTAGATGAAGACAAATATTGTGCATGTAACATCTTACCTCAGAGAATTGTTCCAAGTGCCTCAGTAAACCTGCATCTCCTGCCAAATTCCAATTTGGTGCATTCTCAACTATTTCCTCAATAGTCCAAGGATGTTCCCAATCTTTGGACATTGCCATTATTATGCCCAATCGATCAATTAAAAAAAATCACATAACTCTAAGCTGATATTCAAATTTTAATATTTCTATCACGGACAAAGAAAAAGAACAGGTGGCTTTTTTTTGTCTACGAACAGAAACAAAACAAAAACAGCTGACCGATTTGTCTAACTGTCAAACATCAGTTTAGGGTTTTTCTTGTAGAATATTAGAAAATACTAGAAGCGTCTTCACTTAATAAACATCTAACAATAAACATCTCCCTAATCAACACAATTCTCGTCCAATTATTGAAGATAAACCGTATATGTTATCAATCTTGCAATGCACCTAAATTGAAAACAAAAGTTGCTTCTAACTTTGTTCGTTTTGTTGCATAACTAAATAACTATACATATATATATATATTTGTGGTTGTTGTTGTTGTTAACAAAATTAATTCACCACCTACTTGCGACTTAATTAATCTATATTTTGACAGCTGTCAAAGTAGCAGTAATTTGTGGTTATAAATTCGGGGCGTACTTTTGAAAAGCCGTTTCTAATTGAATGCAATTGTGCCATTATTAACGTCGATAATGGGTAAAACATTAGATAAACGCATTTTCTCATCAGCTAACTGGATTTTCGTTTGAATTTTTCAGCACAAACTGAGGTCAACAAGCTGCAGCAACACTTGTCTCTGCTGAAAGACCAATACTCGAAGCTCCAAAGCAAGTACAACGAAATCGAGAAGAAATATTACAATATCTCTGCAAGCAATGGCATTGATGGGATAGAGGATGAGAGCACATTCGCTGCCCGTCTGCTGAACACTGTGGCCAGTCTGTACGATTCGAAAACCTACAGCGATGTGGAGATCAACCTGAAAGATAAGTCGATTGCATGTCACAAGCTGGTTTTGAGTGCACGCTCGGAGATCTTCAATGAGGAGTCCCTGAAAGGAACTCGATTGGATTGGAGCCACATGGAAAGCGATGTGGCCGAGAACATCGTCAAGTGGCTGTACACCAATGAAATTCATTTCATGGACAACAATCTCACGTTGAAGATAATCAGGCAAGCGCATCAGTTTAAGCTCGGCGTTCTGGTGGAGAGCTGCGAGCAGATCCTCATCAATAATGTGGATATAAGGAGCTGCGTTAAGTTTTATTCGGTGGCGGAGGAAATCGAAGCGAAAAACTTGAGGGAATATTGCTCAGGGTTGATCTCCACGCATTGGAACGATTTGAACAGTTCGGATTTCGAGCACATGTCTGGACCGTTGCTTTATAAAATGTTGAAGAACAAGACGCAATTACCTCTTCATTCAGCCGTCCGTCTTCAGAGGGAAGATGTCGTTTTTCTCTGCTTAGTCGAGAATGCGTCACGGGTGAGTTTCAGTTTACAATATACAATTCTAGTACTAGTTCTTGCACATATGTATAATGTATGTATAAATGTATTTATTTGGATCAAGAGAAACGATGGGAGGAAAATTTGTATAAAGTATATTTTTAAAGAGAGTAGATTTGGTTGCCTAATATATTTGTCATAGTACATATTAAAATAATTGAAAGAAAGAGTGATTCGTTTAAAAATAAAAATCAAATCAAATATATCATAGTACAGTATATATATATATATATAAAATTATAGGGATTTAAAGTATCCTGAAAGGATATTTGAATGTAAAGATCACAGCGATTGTGAGAGTAGCGACGAAGGCGTGGTTCTCTGTTTTGGGGGCGGAGTTGCAGAGGTCGCCTCGGCAATAGCAGAACGTCGACGAGGACGACCGATAGCCTTTATCGTCGGCCTTCGTGCAGCCTTCCTCGTAGGGCTCCTCGATCGCCACTTCCAATTGCCATTTCCCGTTGACGAAGTCTTGGTAGTCGTAGCGTTGCTTGGCGCAATCGCGAACCGTGCCGTTGATGGGCACTGGAAACATCAATATTATTAGCATCAGCAATTATTGTTTATTATTGATTGTACCTGTTAGATTCACTGTAAAATGCTTCTTCATGCAGAGCGTCGAGTATGGACACTCGACGATGTACCTATCCGAGTAGTCGAATTTTGAGCAGAGGCGTTCCGGTTCGTTCGAGAACGCAGAGGGCGGAGTCACGGTGCATCTGAAGCACTTCAGAACGCCCTCAGCCGATGGTAACGCTGCGAACAGATCGAAACAAAAAACTCAGCATTCAAGTTGCAAATCAATACCAAAGGACGAAAGACTATGATTATGTGTTATTTATAATTCCCACAACTGGAGCGTGTCTAAAAAAATGTTTACACGATAACAATCGTCCAATCGCAAGTTGCGCAACGCCCAGTTGAATAATAAAATGGGAATGGAACAAGCGAGTAAATTATAAAAGTACATGCAAAATACATTACAGCGAATTTCGTCATATGAAATAATGCTGTTTCAGCGTCGAGGTGAGATAATTAATTAATTAATTAAATCGTGCTATATTTAGCCACAATTCGCGTTTTGACCTCTCTCCCTCAAAAGAATTTCGTGCTCGTTCGCACGTTTCGAATTGGGCGGCTGAAGGGGGAAAAGAGGAGGAGGAGGAGGAGGCGGTGTCCGGGCCGGGCGACCCACTTTCGCGCCGTCATGCAATTAAACCAACCTCCGAGGGATAGAAAAAATTCGAATTACAGCCGTGCACGAATGAAGGGAATGGAAAAATAGCTGCACGTAAAAAGGGAAACGATCGTAATTGCTGAGTGTTATTAAAATAAATAAATTGGCGAAAGCTGAGGTCAGGAAAACATTTTTTTTTCAGATATGCTTAAAATAAAAAAAAACAGCGTTCGCGGAGGTGGTGCAATCTATTAGTATTTATTTTAATGACGCTCATTAACGTTGAACCAATTACACTCGTTCGTTTTGCATTTCCGAACAATTGCATGATGCATTTTTACGTGCCAATGATTCAAAATGAGAATTGAGAAGAACTCATTTGCGTTATGACTATTCTCATTCCTTGAAAATCCAATTCGAAAACGTATGCACATACTAATTTGATCTGCAAATGTATGTTTCTTTTTTTTGTTTGTTTGTACAAGCAATGAAATAAGAAGTTTTTACAATTTATATATAGAACGAGTGTGAGTTTTATTTTGCGCAACATTTTATCAAAGTTAAATTGTAACGATTTCCATGAAGTGATCTATGATATTACTAATATTTAGGAAATCCAAACATTATTTTGTGTAAATATTTGTGGTTCAAGGTTTCATTCGGTATAACATTAACAAATAAAATGAAGTTTACGTTTGTACACAGACCGTTGATAAAATGATAATTAAAAATAAAATGTGTTACATTCTGTATCGAAAAAAAAAACAATTTAAATTTTGTTGTCAGTAACATTTAAGTCCTTTTGCATTTCATCATTTTCTCGTTATTTCACCGAAACAAAAAAAACAAAAAAATATGTAAAGGAAATGCTGATAGGAAAATGTAGATAGTCACAATGGAAATGATGGAATATACTGCAGTTATCATGTAATGGGTCATAAAGTCTATAAAGAATTGAATGACTAAAACTAAATGTAAATCTTTCTTAAATTCTTCTGTTTACTTCATGAAACGTTTATTGAAATCACTTATTTATTTAATAAGATGTTTCAATTTCTCTACTTTATTTAAGTGAATATGAAAAAATAAACCCTTAAGCTAATGAAAATTGTGTGTGTAAATATTCAGGTTTTCATTTTGGGCAGAGTCGAACCGTAAACAGAAATTAACCGGAATTTTTAACTGAACTGTAACCGGAACGAAAAATCGAAACCGGAACGAAATTTTAATGTCGGTTCAATTACTTTTTCATTATATTAATTCATAATCGCTTTCTTTCATGTCTGCTTTTAGATGGTTTTTCGTTTTTAAATTTTTATTTCAACCGGTTACAGAACCGAAATTTTTAGACGAACCGTAACCGAATCTGGAACGAAATTAATTTCGGTTCAACTCTCTGATCTTAAGGTTAGATCATTTGAAATAAAATTTACGTAGAGAGCTGATAAAATTTATAATCAGTATTTTAAGTACGTGTTTAAAATATATTTAGAATAACATGAAACCATTTAAAATGAATTATTTATAAAACTGATAATTACGAATAAGTATTTGAAATATATATACAGAGGAACCTCGCATAACGATTGTCACTCGTCCCGGAATGCGCGCCTGCTAGATCATTTTTAAAACTTGTGTACACATATTATGTGTATGTTTTGTATACGTTTCAATATAAGAGTAAAAATCCGGAAATTTTTGAACGGATTAAACTCGTTAGTTGTTTGATAAAATGAAATAGTCTAAAATTAAAATAATTGATATTTACATAAATATCATTAATTATACAACTAAGTAGTAAATTATTATTTGTATATTGTCTGCTTTAGTAAGTCATAACAATGAGTTTGCAAATGGTCACGTTGACAATTTCCAATAACATTGCTCATCGCACTTCCTTACAGATAGGGCATCATTTAGGCATCATTGTTCAACACTTTTGGTGTTGTTGTCGACGCGCGTGGGCGGTCGAGGATTCCGCTCTTTGTGTTGTGTGTTCGTAATTCGGAAGGCCACTCACTCGATAGTCGAATCGCATCGCTTCCTGTTTCGATTTTTCTCATCAACTTTCCTCTCTTCTCGCATCAACATTGTCCATACGAACACACCAAAACGATATTGAAACACTCGTTATCAATTTGTAAATTAGCCACAACACCACCATTCGCTGGACAACTTCTTGGCCTTGTCACGCACGCTTTTCGATCTGATTATTTTCCTTTCTCGGATTTTCTTACCATTTACAATTATTAATCTCGTTTGTTCTCCTCTTATTCCGATCTCGATTATCGCGCAAACAATTAAACCAGTTTGCACAGACTTAAATTTTTTCCAGTCCTTGATGTTTGTGTGCGTGTGTATAAATAAACAAACTGTTACGCATTTAAAATTTCGATAACCAAAGTTTATTTAGATTCGCCTTTGAATCTTAGCCAAAAAGTCTACGACCTCATTCACAAAATTCTCAATTATTCTCTCTCTCAATCTATCTTTATATTATAAAACATAAGATGTAACAGTTTAACATTCTCGGCCTTGCTTTCAATTAATACATCAACAATTAGTTTTATTCTTCGATTAAATGGGCGATGATTGTTGCGTAACAGCAAACCAAAGGATTTAGTTTTACTGTTACACTTCGAAATTGGGTCTGCGGTTACGTGAAAACCGCTTGGCTTCACCAGAAAATTTCTTTATTTGCTTGAAACTTTCTTTATTCCTTTTCCTTCTTCAGTTCGTCGTCGTTGTTGTTGATGTTACGCAGCGATATACTCATTTGAATGCGGTTAGTTTCGGTGCGATAATGAGGATGTGTGTAATCGTAATCAGTTCTAAATAGGAGGAAGCGTTGTTTGGATTAGAGACTTTTCGAAGCATTTTCGGTCGTTCACACTCGCAACAAATTGTTGAGCACGTACGTCCCTTTTTGTTATGGCATCGCCACGTCCCATTCATAATGATAACAACGCACGGATTAGTCTCTTCTTCGATGTCTTCTTCGTTCACTAAAAAGGAAGTCAGATGCGGGTAGGGCTTGTACTTCATTTCGTTTCCTGAATCCACCTTCTCAAACAAAATTCAATCTAGTGCAGTTATTATTTATGTAATTGCAGACACCTTTCACTTTTCATCTCGCACAAGCTACCTTCGTTTCAGCGCTGATTCAGTTTAAATATCGAAAGACGCAATTAAAACGTCCATTAACTATCATTACCGCTTACCTAAGTCATTTTATCTATAAAAGTACACAACGCAAATCTAACGTCCACTTTAGAATTAACCGATCGTTAGTTAACAACTACTTCCTGACAATAAATCATCCAGTTTTTCAAATCATAATCGGGAATTCTAAAAGTATTGCTTTAGGAAATATTAAATTAAACTTAAAGTTAAATTAGGAAAGTTCGATAGATCTTAACTTTTGTTTTGCTTTTATCACTATCCTAGATCAATAATATGACTCAAACAATTCCGAATTCTATTAGATATTTAGTGGCTATTGTTTTCTTCCTGACAATAAATCATCCAGTTTTTCAAATCATAATTGGGAATTCTAAAAGTATTGCTTTAGGAAATATTAAATTAAACTTAAATATAAAGTTAAATTAGTTTATTTTGCTTTTATTACTTCCTAGATCAATAATATGACTCAAACAATTCCGAATTCTATTAGATATTTAGTGGCTATTGTTTTCAAACTAATTTCATTTCCAATTTTTGTTCACTTTAAAATTTAACTATTGTATTATGTCATTTTCTTTTTGTTGTAAAAAATGTATATTTTATCTAAACTAATATATGTTTTATCTTTGAAAATTATCAATTTATTTCTTAATAAATCTACAATAATCTCTAAAGCAGTAGAATAAATGAAATATTGGATCGAACCAATTCGGGCCACTGACCTTTCACTTTCATCATCATTAACGATTCGGCATAATTTACATAACATTTGGGCGGAAACGATTACGTAATACAATTTCCGAATTTGCGACAAAATTGTTTTTCGTTGTTTCTAATTCTGCCCAAATGGGATCGGATCGGAGCGGGCGTGCGTGTGTCTTCGACCAATGGAAATTACGTGTACGTCGCCATGGCAACAAAGTGAATCAACGTGGGGGATGCGACCGGTCTTCCGTCGTCGAAAAAACCCACCCTCGACTTACTTAGTTATTCATTCATTCAAAAGGTTTTGTCTTACTTGCGACCAGGGCAAACGCCGCCAGAAGGATCAGCGTGGCAGGGGATGCCGTCGCGCTTTTCATCATCATCATCATTATTATCTTCTCCTTCGATTCTTCAGAGATTGTTTATTAAAATTGCAACAACAAAAAAAAACAACGTCAATCACGCGCGTGGCATTCCTTGATCTATCGTCTGCTCACGGTGGGTAGTTCATTGATGATGATGATGATAATCCAGTTCGATGCACTCGTGTGGTGGTGGAGGAGAAGGAGGCTTCTTCTTCACATGCTCACAGATAATTCGTTTCGTCGTACAACAGGCTAAGGCACATTTGTTGCTTCCACTTTCATGTTCGTTGGCCAACTGAATCAGCTGTTGTATAGAGTCGGGTGTCTGGTATTGTCGGTCGGGAGGCTTTTAGCCTCACGCATATTACGAAGCCCCCTATATTTTTTTCACTCCTCTCCTTCTTCATCGCCCCCCTCCTTCGCATATATACATCTATATATACGTCAACGTTGACCTCAGCATTATCATCATACACCTCTTGTCTGTATCCATCTGAAGCATCTAGTATCAGCATTTAGTCGCAATTCTTCGCAATTACAGTTTGCTTTGTAACATTCTTCGGCACGTAACGGTTCTGCTTCCAATTGAACCGGTTTACGACATGAGGCAGAGAGGAGACAGATACATAAGAGAAGAGAAGAAAAGAAAAAAACGCGCGCACTAAAAATACCGGGCGCCGCGTCGCATGCTTCTTGGAAACTCGTGATTCAGACTTGCAGAAATTATTAATAAACAACTGTTTATATCTTGTTACGCCAACGACTTTTCAATCTACAATAAACAATCTATTAATCTTCTTTCATACAATGAGAACTTTCTTCTCTATGTTGCGAATTGTCTGAAAAGGTTGTTTGGATGGCGCCTTTCAGGTAGTTGACCGATTTTCAAAGTAATTCGAGCATAAAACAACACCATATTCGCTACATCGTCGTAAACAAGTTTAAACAATTGTACTCATTATATGTAACAGTTATTCAACGGACTTTTAATGCGTGTCTCAATGACCGACAATGTTTTTTCTTGCTGTGTCCGATGAGTTCATTACTTTACGTTGTTTCGGATTAGATTTATTAATAATAATACATAAATACAATTGGTTTTTATAAGGTTATATAACTTTTAAACTGATTACTGAATTACATTCTAAAGTAGAAGTAGAAGTAGATAATTTCCAAAGTATTTTCGTACTTTCCAAAAATATAAATAAGTTTGTTATTTAGCTATTCAGTAGACACGATAATGTTGCTTTATGTAGGTCACATGGAATATTATACTATATGAGAATTTGATATATTTATATTCGAGTTTGTATGACAATAATGTTAATAGCAAGAAGAAAGAAACGTATTCATCACACGGCATGCGATTAATTACAATTTCAATTAGTTCAAGGTTTTACAATTTGCCGATTTATAATCATAACAATCATCTGTTCGTAAAACGAACGTTTCTAAGTTATTTATTATATAGTGGAACCTCGCTTAATGAGTTTAATCCGTTCCACACATTCAAAAATACACAAAATGTGTGTACAAAAGTTTTTTTTTAAAATGATGTAGAAGACGCGCAATCATTGTCACTCGTTAAGTGAGTCATTTTTCTTAAAATTTATTTTGCTCGTTAAGCAAATTGTTCGTTAAACGAGGTTCCACTGTATATGTCTCTGGTTGATGACAAATAATTGATTTTCATTAAATAATTTAAAAGTATTTTCCTCATTTATTTACAAAAATATGTACAACTCGGAAATTTTGAAACCATATTTTCTTAGGACTTGAAAATTACAATTTCCTTTAATAGTGAAAGAACGAACAGTAGTTGGGACTTAAAATCCTCTTTACTTTCTCTTATCTATTCATCACTAAAAGCAAAATTCAGTCGTCAATATTTTTTAAAAAGTCGAGTTTTAATTAAAGTAATAACTTTTGATTCTTCTCTAGGCTTTTGCAAATACTTTTCATACAATTCAGATGGGTATTTTGTGATAATGTGTCGCATTAGTCATAGCAAGAAACATCTGGTCATTGAAATCAACATTTAAAAAGATGTGATTGCAGCTGGATGTTTAGAACAAATTGCTATTATTGCTGCTAAATTTGTAATTTGTTAAAATTTGAGGTTTACAAAAGTTGTAGCAAATTTTCAACAAAATTATCTTATATTACCTTTTGTAGTGAAAGAACGAACAGTAGTTTAACAGCAAATCCTCTTCCTTTTCAACTTTCTCTTCATTTTTAAGAGATCCTCAATTATTAATATCGAAGAGAAGGTTTGACTTGAAAATTTAAAAAATTCAAAATTACCAACTATGAAATAATTTAATGGTTGCTTATATTAAACGAGAGGTTCCCAAACTTTTTCGATTTCCGACGCCCTTAATGTATCAAGTGAAGAATTTCAGACAGTAAAACGTAAACTAATAATATATAAACGTAATATGATTAGGTGAGAAGTTACATGATGAACTGATGATGACATTTAATATTTCTAGTTGTCGGATATTGTGAACGTGTGGAGTCCAAATGGAGAACTTCCCTTGGACATGGCACTTCGGTGTCACAACGGTAGCATCGCAAAGACTTTGGTGGAACACAACGCCGACATCGATATCAGGGATGCAGCAGGGGAGACGCTTCTCCATCGCTCCATCAAGCAGGACGACTCTTTCTCCGCTCTCTTCCTGCTGGAGTCCAAATGCGATGCGACATTAACTACGCGCAACGAAAACGAGTCGGCGCTTCACCTAATTGCCGGAACGAACAACATCGAAGACGCCATCAAGATTGCAGAGAAGTTGATCAACAGAAACGCGAATCTGAACGGGCAAAACAGACATGGATAGTAAGTGAACGAATAAAAGTATCTATCTGAAATAACGAATGGGAAATTTCAGTACCGCCCTTCATATCTCAATAATATCGGATAACAGACCCGTCTTTGAGCTGCTCCTTAAGCAGCCGACCTTGGATATCAATCTACGCACAAGCCAGGAGCACACGCCGCTCTATTATGCCATGAAGAAGTACGAGTGCGGAGAGGATTCGTATGCACTCGGCTTACTGGATCACGACGTGCAGTCTAATCCCGTCTACAGCGACACCTGCGACAATCTTCTGCAGGTGTTGCTCTTGGATGGTGCGAACGATGCTGCCCTCTTCTTGCTGGACCACACACAGAACTACAATCATGCTAATGCGGAAGGTGAGAGCATCCTGCATACGGCGTGCTCGAAGAACAGTTCGACTTTCGTCTCGAAACTGCTGGAGCTGGGTGCAAATCCGAACGTGCTTACGAACGTTTCGAGGCGGGCCGCTCTCCATTACGCCGTTCTGGCCAATGCGAAGACGTGCATCGAAACGTTTATCGCGTTCAATTCGAGCGAGAAAATGACGAGCGTTAATTTCAACGTTCGGGATTCGGAAGGCGACACCCCGTTGAGTCTGTCGCTGCAAGTGGGTAACATGGAGCTGGTGCCCATCCTGATACGCGGCGATGCGGATGTTAACGTGAGAAACGGAAAGGATTTAACGCTGCTGCATCAAGCCATCATGAAGGAAGATTCGACGACCGCCCTCTTCCTATTGGACCACGGCGCCGATATTAACGCCAAGTAATTCTATTTTCTTTTTTTGCTTCCGCCTGCTACCTCCCTCTAGGAGGAGCCTCTTCCATTTAGCCAATCGCAATATGTATTGTAGTGGAGAGTTTAGAGGATAGGTGGAGTACGAATCGGGGTCCCGGCTGAGGGGACCTCGGAATGGTTGTTAGTGATGATTGGCTGTTATTTTATAAGGAAGTATCCGTGGTCAATACAAAATTGGCTAAAGCCTTAAAGATTTCAGGACGATTTTCCGCTAAAAGAGTGTCTATGGAAGTTGGCAACTGGATGTTCATGGAAGAGATGGTGGACAGTAGATGCTGCGTTGTTTGGACATCCAAACAGGATGTGGTTGACTGTTCCTGTCTCTCTTCAGGAGCATAGATCGCTGATAGATAGTCCAACTCTATGAAGATGTATTGGAGCGAGAGTATGTCCAGAACGGAGCCTGCCAATTGTTGACACTTGACACTTCCTGAAGATGCCCGCACCCACGAACCAAGGTTTCACTCCAATCACTTTGTTCAACTGATGGTAATACTTCCCTTTTGTTGCACAATCACTATCAAACTTCCTTTGCCACTCTGCCAATGCGAGCCGCCTATGATCGAAGAAGAAGTCTGTGTGAGGGATCTTGATATCCAAGGGTCGTCGATGGAGTGGCCTTTCTTGCGGCCTCGTCCGCCTGCTCATTTCCTGCGATTCCCTGGTGACTCGGAATCCAACACAGTTCCACCGGCTGCTAGTCTGTTCAGGGAGTTCCTGGCTTCTACCACCCAAGGATTGGTCTTAATTTGGATTTTTTCACTGAAGATGCTGCTGATGGAGGACAGGGAGTCAGAGAATATGACGACATTTCTTGTACCATGAATGACGGAGGCGATGTTCACTGCTCTGCAGATTGCGTATAATTCCGCTGTGAAGATAGAGCAGGATGATGGCAATCTACCGCACTCGCAGATGTTGGACGCTGGAATGGCTATTCCGTGTTTGACGGATTTCGGAGTGTTACGTATTGAGCCATCTGTATAGATTCTC